GGATCTCGGAAAGGTCTATTTCATTTGCTACAAAGTTTGCATTTGTACAAGGTTTGTACAATAGTGCAGTTGCATCACTCTGTAGATAATGATAGGGGATTCCATTAAAAAATGAATGAGAATATATAGATGTTCAATGTTATTCATGTCAGCTTATTTTTTAACCTCAGTCCTAGTTGATATATATTACTGTTTTCTGTTTGATGTGGTTTGATGGAGCTGTTTCCTTCATAATGAAATCTGCCTTCAGGTTATTCTTAGACAATTGTCTGTTTTTGAACACAGCATGATCACCGCTTCCAATGGTGCCACCATTTTCAGATTTTGAATTATGTGATTCGGAAATTTCAGTTTGACCAATATTTGCCAAAATTTTGCATAAAATGTCAAAGTAACAGTTGTTATATGCCATGAATTTCAGTAAATAGCAAAATGTCTAATGTTCAGAAGTCAAAAATGAAACCTTGAGCCTTCTGTAAAAATTGGAAGACATGTCAAGTATGATTCTGACCTTGTATACTGACATACATGTACATATGCAGTTGGGTGCAGCTTAGACCGTCGTTTACCTAATACATGAAATACATCAGATAACACTTAAGCAAATGTCATTGTGAAATGCATGCTGGGTCAAGATTATCGCTGTTTTACATCATGGGCTTGTATTTATCGCCATGACAACGTTTCCAGACTGTTTAGTCTCATATGGCTGTGATGTTCAGCTGATCCCATGCAGGAACCAATCAATGGCTTTTCATCAGAGACTTCACTGGTAGACTTTATGTTTCTGTCGCAGTGGATAATAAACCTGCAGTTTGTTCATGTGTAAGTGATTTTGTATTGACTTTATGGGAATAAATTATTACTGATTAATGTGTTTGTGAAACATTAGTGCACAAAATATATCATATTTCAACTGCAATATTGGGAATGGGAAGGGCAGAGGGTTAGAATAGAAAGGTATGAAATAATGGTTTTCTGTCATGTCATGTACCATCTTAATTCTTCATCAAGACCGTATTGATTCATTTCTTAACATATTTTCATCAAATAATTATTACAAAAGTCATATTTGAGAATACCTTAGATGAGTTCATATTTCAGGGTCCCAAGGTCAATGCCAAGGTCATTTGCTATTTATAGGCCAACCACAGGAACAAAGTGGCAGTTTATGCCTCACAGATCTAGATACTTTCTTGTTTGACTATACAGGTACATGTATTACAATCTACAATGCATCCTTTTGGATCCTTTGCCTTGTATATTAACCTTGGTGGAATATGGTGAAGCAATTTACTACTGGAATGGTACATTCAATTGTATTGTAACTAGCAGATTTTAGTATTACTTAAATTCACGACACTGGTCAGTATCGTTCATAACTTCATTTAATTCCTTCTTTAATAATGGTATTTCATGAACGTTAAGTGCTCCTTGGTCGTGTCTAATGTTATAAGGAACCAATCACAAACTATTATATCGCAATATATTGCTTTCAGAACCAATATTGTCTCCACTAAAACTGATGCTGAAAATATTTCATTCCATTATTTCACCAATCAGACCAATGTTAGTAATATGGCTGATTAAACAACTCTGATAATTTTCTCATTTCCACGGCAGCACATTGATCAACATGTAGGGTCTAATCAATGTTTGAATCCTATAACAAATCTGTAATAGAATCTTGCCACAACTTGACAAGTTTCCTCTAGACACTTAGCAGTTTTCACTGGTGCTAAATTTAGAAGCTGCTGCCGATATAAAGATTAGGAGAATATAAGTCACTTGTAGTCATTGATTTCTGAGATTGGTGTGATGGAAAATATTTACCGTATTTGTGACAATTAATGTAATTCCCAGGAGAAGATGGACAGTTACATCTTTATGTAACATGATTCTACATATAGATTAAACAACAACAGTCACTTCCTGAAGGTTCAGGCTAAACACATCAACTAAACTGCATGTATTCCATCTTTCTTCTGAGATCAGTTTTTATGTATAAATCAATGAATATTCAACAGACATTCAATAAGCTGTATCTCATTTTAGTATTGATTTCTTGCAAACACAAAGCTGTACTAAAAAAGTGTGTTTGTAAAATTCTGTTTACAACAAATAAGAAAGATAGCACATGAGCAAACTATTGATTACATGAATTATTCAGTAGCTGCAAATTAACTATAATTTGATATAAGGTGTATCATCTCAAGATTTCTGAAGTGACGTAACAGGTTGATTAAAATAATTGTAAATGGCTAATGAAATCCTTTTGATTATTGCCAATATGTCTTTCCACATGTTGTGTACATTTGCATGAATTGAATACAAGAAAGTCAAATACTTATCAACTTATTCACCCCTTCATGTTTAACGGGACATCAACTTATTCACCCCTTCATGTTTAACGGGACATCAACTTATTCACCCCTTCATGTTTAATGGGACATCAACTTATTCATCCCTTCATGTTTAATGGGACATCAACTTATTCATCCCTTCATGTTTAACGGGACATCAACCTATTCACCCCTTCATGTTTAACGGGACATCAACTTATTCACCCCTTAACTGGACTTTCCCAGTCTTTGATTTCGTAAGGTTCAAATGACTGACTGAAGGGAAATAGTTCAGACATTCATCTTGTCAAATGTTAACCTCTGAACCTTTTAAAACTAATTTCAAACTTAACATTATACGTCTTGTCCAAAATACATTAGTCCGGAACAAAAGTCTTGTGATTTGGTGATCATGTGGTACAGTTATGGGAGGAGGGGGGCATATATACTTTTGGTATGAAGGTAAATTAACAGTAAGCCAACTTCATTGCAGTGTAAGATTGGTAAATTTGGGCTGAAATTTGAAATTTCACCTCCTGCATTACAGGGATATCTACTGGTTTAGTATCCGCTCGTTTGATAATGAAGTCGGAAACTGCATACCAGTTTTTGTGCAATGTTTTATAACTGCTGTCAGATTATCACTGTTTTCCAGAAGTACATACAAATNCCCCCCCCCCCCCCCCCCCCCCCAACACGTGACAATGCATATGTAACCCAGCAAAATTTGGAAAGAAAAAAGTTTCTAAAAATCGACATGTTGCTTACAAAAGGAATCATGATTATTTCTCTCCCAGTGTTGAATTTGTCTTAAAGCCCTGGTCATGGGGAAATAAAACAGGGCTACACGTTTGCTGTTATACTTACTGTACTTAGTGTTAGGCTTGGTAACAGCAATGTTTATATATAACTGTACTTAGTGTTAGGCTTGGTAACAGTAATGTTTATATATATAACTGTACTTAGTGTTAGGCTATGTAACAGCAATGTTTATATATAACTGTACTTAGTGTTAGGCTTGGTAACAGCAATGTTTATATATTTAACTGTACTTAGTGTTAGGCTTGATAACAGCAATGTTTATATATATAACTGTACTTAGTGTTAGGCTTGGTAACAGCAATGTTTATATATACATCCTAGAATGTCATTGTATATTGCAATAACTAGAGGATAAAGCAACCCAAGAATTGAAGGTGTCGGTTATATTTTTGTTGCTGTTGTATCAATATTATTCTGTATCTCGGTCAGGGAGGTTATGGTTTCTACAGACACATACACAGCCAAGATTGTCTTCAGAATGTAATAAACAGACGGGAATTCAATATATATATATAAGTGTACATGCTGTCTTGAAATTGGATCTTCCTTTGTCCTTTGATATTCTATAAACTGATGAAGACTCAAGATACTTGTACATCTATACACATATTTGTGTATTCAATTAATATAATTAATACAATATCAGGATATTGCAGGTACTAAATACTGCCCCTAAGCCACCTGACTAATTCTTTCACATATATGTTTTTGTTATTTGTTCAATAATGATAACACAGAATTGAACATTGACAAAACATTAATCTCAACCTTTTACCAATATGGTTTCATTTTGTGAGTTGAACTATAATTGATCATCCAAATTGGTTAGTGAGTGTTTTTTCCGATAATCTAAATAAGTTCGCATTTTATTTTGTCTTTATAGGCACTATGAGTTAGCAGGCTCTTCCATCAAATCTGCTTGCCATTTCATCAACTTGCCCTCCTGTCTTCCCCAGCAGTCATGCTGACAGAACAGCTTCCGACAAGGCAAGACCTTGTTGAGTCTCTCGACTCTGAAGCCATCTTTGATTATTTAATTCAACATGGAGTCTTAGATGAAGGAACACGGGATGGCATTCGAGGGGAGACAACCAAGGTGCAAAGAAATACTGCACTACTGCAACACTTGCAGGGGAATGGTGACTCAGCTATTGCCTTATTTATCAACGCTCTCAGACAGTCTGGTCAACTGGTGCTGGCCAGCTCTTTGGATGTGACCAGTAAAATCAAGCCGACCTATGGATCAGGTTCGTTATTTATACTGAGGTATAACATAATATATTTACTTAATACTGAGGTATGTTATATATATATACTGAGGTATGTTATATATACTGAGGTATGTTATATATACTGAGGTATGTTATATATACTGAGGTATGTCATATAGATTGAGGTATATTATATATACTGAGGTATGTTATATATATACTGAGGTATGTAATATATACTGAGATATGTCATATAGACTGAGGTATGTTATATATACTGAGGTATGTTATATATACTGAGGTATGTCGTATATAGTAAGGTATGTTATATATACTGAGGTATGTCATATAGACTGAGGTATGTTATATATACTGAAGTATGTTATATATAGACTGAGGTATGTTATATATAGACTGAGGTATGATATATATACTGAGGTATGTTATATATACTGAGGTATGTTATATATACTGAGGTATGTTATATATACTGAGGTATGTCGTATATACTGAAGTATGTTATACAGACTGAGGTACGTCATATAGACTGAGGTATGTCGTATATACTGAGGTATGTTATATAGACTGAGGTATGTTATATATATACTGAGGACTGAGGTATGTTATATAGACTGAGGTATGTTATATATGCTGAGGTATGTCATATAGATTGAGGTATATTATATATGCTGAGGTACGTCTTTTATACTGAAGTATGTTATATATACTGAGGTATGTTATATATACTGAGGTACGTCATATATACTGAGGTATGTTATATATACTGAGGTATGTTATATATACTGAGGTATGTCATATATACTGAAGTATGTTATATATATACTGAGGTATGTTATATATACTGAGGTATGTTATATATACTGAAGTATGTTATATATATACTGAGGTATGTAATATATACTGAGGTATGTAATATAGACTGAGGTATGTTATATATATACTGAGGTTTGTTATATATACTGAGGTATGTTATATATATACTGAGGTATGTTATATATACCGAGGTATGTAATATAGACTGAGGTATGTTATATATACTGAGGTACGTCTTATATACTGAGGTATGTCGTATATACTGAGGTATATTATATATACTGAGGTATGTTATATATACTGAGGTATGTCGTATATACTGAGGTATGTTATATATACTGAGGTATGTTATATATACTGAGGTACATCTTATATATTGAGGTATGTTATATATACTGAGGTATGTTATATAGACTGAGGTATGTTATATATACTGAGGTATGTCGTATATACTGAGGTATGTTATATATACTGAGGTATGTCATATATACTGAGGTATGTTATATATACTGAGGTACATCTTATATATTGAGGTATGTTATATATACTGAGGTATGTTATATATACTGAAGTATGTTATATAGACTGAGGTATGTTATATAGACTGAGGTATGTTATATATACCGAGGTATGTCATAGATTGAGGTATGTTCTATATACTGAGGTACGTCATATATACTGAGGTATGTTATATATACCGAGGTACCTCATATATACTGAGGTATGTTATACTGAGGTACGTCATATATACTGAGGTATGTTATACTGTGGTACGTCATATATACTGAGGTATGTTATATATACCGAGGTATGTTATATATATTGAGATATATTATATATACCAAGGTATGTTATATATACCGAGGTATGTTATATATGCTGAGGTATGTTATATATGCCAAGGTATGTTATATATACCGAGGTAAGTTATATATACACTGAGGTATGCGGTATGTTATATATACCGAGGTATGTTATATATACTGAGGTATGTTATACAGTTTATGTATATATATGTACAATGGAGCCTTGACAGGCAAGTCATCTTTATGGTTAGCAGTAATAGCTGGAATGTAAGCACTGGATAGCTAGTATACATTTGTAATCAAGAAGTACAAACCAATCTCCATAACATAAACTGGGATACCTGGATTAGTAATGTCTTGATAGTATCAGGGCAACAAGATTGGGTTTTTACGGTAGTCTTAACTGGATAGTAGGGGAACCAGATTAGTGGTGGCTGGTTAGTGGGACAACCAGATTAGGGGTGTATTGATAGTTGAACCAGATAAGGTGTGGCTGGATATATATAGTGGGACAACCAGATTAGTGGTGGCTGAATAGTGAGACAACCAGATTAGTGGTGGCTGAATAGTGAGACAACCAGATTAGTGGTGGCTGAAAAGTGAGACAACCAGATTAGTGGTGGCTGAATAGTGAGACAACCAGATTAGTGGTGGCTGAATAGTGAGACAACCAGATTAGTGGTGACTGGTTAGTGGGACAACCAGATTAGTGGTGGCTGGTTAGTGGGACAACCAGATTAGTGGTGGCTGAATAGTGAGACAACCAGATTAGTGGTGACTGGGTAGGGGGACAACCAGATTAGTGGTGGCTGGTTAGTGGGACAACCAGATTAGGGATGTATTGATAATAGGAGAACCAGATAAGTGGTGGCTGGATAGTGGGACAACCAGATTAGTGATGACTGGATAGTGGGACAACTAGATTAATGGCACCTAGATGGTTGGACAACCAGATTAGTGGTGGCTTGATATTTTGATAACCAGATTAGTGGTATCTTGTTAGCAGAACAACCATATTAGTAAGTGGAAATTGAGATAATCAGATTAATGGCAGGTTGTCCCTCATAACTAGATTAGTGGTGACTGGATATCGGGACAACCAGATTAGTAGAAACTGTTGATAGTTTGACAACTTGATAAGTGGTAGCTGGATAGTTAATTGGATAACCAGATTAGTGGAAGTTATATAGTGGGACAACTGGATTAATTAGCAGTACTATGACAGAGGGACAACTGAATTAATTAGTGGTACCTAGATATTGGGACAACCTGATATATGGTACCTTGATATTTGGATAATTTCTTTTAAGGAGAATTTTGAGTGCTGTGCTTATGTCATAACTAGGTCTGATTGCCATGACGTTTTAGTAGCAAATAATTATTGGTATTGATAACACTGTGCAGGGCCATAACAAATTAACAGTAGATATACCAAAAGAGAGACATGTTGGTATAGTTAGTGATATCATTGATAACGTCATCAGCTCACCAGTCATTGAACACATCCATATTTTCTGTGTTAGGTGGCACTGCTGTGAACATCAGGTTTGGTTTAGTATTGTGAGGAATAAAACCAGAAAAAAACTAAATGGCAAAAACACCACTTTCAAAGGCATTCACAGGAGATATGTTGCGTTTGAGAAATTAACAGAAATATCATATATTTCTACCAATAAGAATTAAAGTTTACTTCAGAAATATATTGGTGTTTTATATGTTTGTGTTTGTTTTTACAGGTTATCTGGGGAAGGAGCGGTATAAAGGTGAGAAAATACGATAATAAAAATGCTCATTGGATTAAACTTCAAAGGGATTTCTTAAAAGCAGAATGAAATTTACAAAATGAAATAAAAGCAGGGTATTTCTTTATAGTGATTTGTGGTTTATAAAAGGTAATGAAACATTTCCATAAACGTATCAAAAGACCATTTTCACATAAATTTATTAAAAAGATCCTATTCACTATATGGAGTCCAGTAAGTTAAAGACATGCGCCTATAAGATATATAATGATTATTCTGATCACTTTCAAAATATATATATATTCCTTTGCTGGTTCTATTCTGTTGCTTATATATTAACATATTGATATTTTGCAGGTCAAGTGACCATAAAGATTCTAGTTGACTCAATCAAGGGTTTGTTCCCAAAGTGGGAAGAAGGTGACCAATTGGAGGAGAAACATGGCGACACACCAGAAAAAGAGGTCAAACCTCATGGGGGTACAACCCTTAGTGACCTCAATGTGCTTCTTACGCCTCGCCGCATGCACAAGTCTTACGAAAATATGACCATGATTGACGGGATTGGTGATGGTTCAAGGTCAAAGATGTGGCGAATTCACGAGTATTCGTATGACAGGGATGGGTTTGGGTATGATACAGCTGGTGAGGAGGAGGATGATGATGATGATGGGGCAAAATCCGCTGGATTCTGTTGGTGTCTTTGCATTCCACGTAGAAAGAAGGCGAAAAAATACAAACAAAATTACCCAGGGCCTTCTAAAGAGCGACAGAGAAACGAAAGTCCCAGAAATGTTCAACCACGTCCCAGGAACACAAAAAATAGGGACAGTAGTTCATGTATGAGTGATATCAGCTCTCCTCCAAAAGGTCAACAAATTGTGAAAGGTGGAAGTTCAAACACATACTCCCCAAAAAGAACTGAAGTTTCTATGCAAAAGAATTTCAATGGAAAGGATAGATCAACGTCTAAATCCAGCAAAGTGCAATATCGTGTTAAAGACACGTCAACCTCAGTTTTACATTCCAAATCCAAACAAACGGGGAAGGACCGCACTAAACGCAAGGAGAAAAGTAAACAGGGTGTCAACCAACGTGGTCGGAAAGGTGAGTCTGTTACGCAAAGTCAAAGCTCAAGGTCAGAAAATAAAGAAAACACTCCCCCAGTCATTTCTTGCACCAGCACGACGAAAAAACATGGAACAGGTGTCAAAAACATGCCAAGTCCTGGTAGTGATTCAATTTTATCTGGAGACGAGGAGCCAGTTGAATTTTGTGTCATGTGGAAAAGCCGGGGTCCTACGTTCGACCAACACGTCGAAAAGTTCAATGACATTGTTGATAAAGATGTTGGAGTAAAATCGCAGATTGTGAAATATTTTGAACAGGAGCGGGGAACGCTTGTTTTGTCAGTGTATTGTAGCGAGGATACCCTTGTTATCTGTAACATATGTATGACATGTGAACAAGTGAAAAACATTCAAGCAGACGAACGCTCTGGACTTCTTACTGAATTAATTGAAGGCATGATGCTTAAAAAATCTGTGATTGATGCACTTGATGTGGACGAGATAAAACTCCATGTGGCGGTCGATGACAATGAAATTGACCTGGCTATGGATGATGTAAGATAAAAAATGACCATTTGACAATGAAACTGACATCTCTGTGGTGAGACATTGACCGGGAACAACAAAACATCCTGAATGGATGTCAGATGTGAATATATTCTTGGAAGCACATTGTTGTAAATTTTACGAAATTGGAGAAGATGGTCAAATCGTCATACCTTTTGTTTATGTTAACAAAAACAATGTGCCGATAATTTGAGTGCAATTAACAAAATATTGAAACCCTTGTGATTCTCTACATATATCTGTTAAATGCTGAAAAGATACAGTATATGTTAAAATGCTTTTCAGATATCTAGAATGTAAAATGAAAATATCCATTTGTCTTGTTACCCTTGGTACGGTAAGTTTTTTCCCTGTGTTGTACCATTAGTTCATTGCTTTTGAACCTATACATGTATGTAGAAAGCAAAGTAATAAAGTACCCCTGTTTTCCGTTACACTTTGTATCCCTTACGTACGATATATGTTTTCCTTATTTTGGTGGACCATAAAACATTTTTGGCTTCTTTTTTGTGTGTGTATAGAATGTAGTTAACATGTTTTTTAATTGCATCTTGTGACAAGAAAGTGATTTTATTTAATTGATAAAGGGTATATATACTGTCATTTTTCTGACTTTAATCTCCATTTTGAAGGAGTTCCATAAAAACCAACACGTAAAAGTATAGTATGAAAGGGGTGCTTACATTTAAGTTATTTTGAATATATTGGCTGGTTCTAGCTCAATCAGTAAGGGGGATAACTCAAAAATAGTTTTTAGGATTTTTGAATTTCGTACTCATTTATGAAATACAACATGTTTTATATCATATTTATATTTAATTATCTGTTTATGCTTACCTCTATTTTTATATTTTAAGCATCAAAGTTACAGAAATTACTTTTTCTTCACCGGTTTTAAGTTACGATAAATTTGTCATGATTTTATATAAAAATACATTTTTATAAAACGGCACATGTATTCACTGTATATATATTGGCGGAAATATACAGACAGCGAATAAATAGCGAAAGGATGTGTAATTGTTTAACCAATGAAAACCGTCGTTACATCACAGACGTAGTAGAATTGTTTTTAATATATGTACGCACTGCCATGAGTGTGCCGATTGTTTTATATACCACAAGTATTCTTCGCATTATGTTAAACAGTCAAGCTTACTCACGATCAATTCTACACAGCATTTCTGAAATATTTATGTAGCATACACAGTAGGTGTCCGTAAGGTAAGCTTGAATGCTGAACTTTGTATCGATATGAGAACGGTCCTACAGCTTTTCACGAGTACTTTTGGTTTTCGAATAAGTGGCCAACAAACTTACAGTTCGTGCCTGGTTGTTGTATTGGTAACAAGGGCCATTGTATATATGCAGAAGTTCAGTAATTTGAACTAATGAGCTATTATATAAACACCAATTACTACATCGGGTACTATTTGATAATTGTAGTCAATTCAGACACATAGAACTGTAAGGTACGGTTTAGTTATTCACATGAATCGAATCAATAATTTGAACAGGGAAAGTTCGACTCCATGATGAGCTTAACGTCATTCACTGAACATGTAGCCAAGCCTATGTTGAAAACTATTTTGTTTTAATTCTGTCATTAAACTTTCAATATATTCTTTTGCTTATGGTATTTATGTCAAGTTCAGGTCTTTTGTGATCATCAAAAACAAATTATGCTACGTATGATATGTTTTAGAAAGTCACAAATCGCTGAAGATAAATTTCAATTGGATTCTGATATTAGCATACAGTGTATGCAAATACTTTTCCAAACAGAAAACCATCTGCCTTGTAAATGGCGTCCCCACTCTCTATGTACATTGTCGGAGCATCCCAACTTAAGAGGTTCCTTTCACTTGCATGCTGACAAGGATTTTGATGACATAATAACTTCAGATATTCAAATGACATTTTTTTTTATTTTACAACCCAATCAAAACCAAATGTGTATCATATTTATGTCCAAAAATGATCTGTAAAAATTTCAGAGTTTTTTCATAGTTGGAATGGATTTAATTATACCGAGATGTGTCTTTTAACTATAGTAATCAGATAACCAAAAGTCATGTACTTTAGTCAGTATCAAGTATTGAGTGGCGTCCTCTTCAGAAAATGGAATTATAAATTGAATAAAGCTCTTACCACTTGTTAAGTATATACATGTACTTGGTAGTATTAAGTTTCATTACAAACAGACACATGAAGCCAAATGTTTATTATTATTATCATTTTAAAATTAATATTTATTTGTATTTTTGGTCTGCTGGTTGGAAATGATAGAATACCTTTTGTGAAAATTTTTGCCTTTATCTGTCTCTAAAACGATTCTAATCTAATTTGTTCTAACAGCGATCGAATTATATGATGTATTTGATTGACTGACAAATACATTTCAAAGAAAAGTAATGTCTCGATATCCGGCTGTTACACATATTATTTCTTATCGGCCATTACAGACACTGAAGATTTACTTCCCTTTATTAGTTACCAAGATAGGAGATTTACCAGAGTGTACGTATCATGCGGAAATATTGATGCATGCATTTAAAAACTTTGCATGACAAGTAGCAAAGTACACAAGACATGTGAGAGCATATCTACAGATTGAAATATTAAATGAATAAACTGATGTGAACAATACAATTGTATCTCGCATATGTTGAGGCTCTCATAATGCATCGAAAAGAAAACATCATATATTGAGATGCATATGTATAGATATGTTATATACGGGTATGTGAGAAAAAGAATACGTCACCAATTGAAATTTATAATAACCCAGCTGTATTCACAGATTATTACTGTGTAGCACCATCATAAGTGCAGTAGTACGGAGTTACTGTCTTTAACAATTCACGGTTACAATTATCATTACCACGGATATAGCATATAAATTTTCAAGGAGTATTTATTTTTCGCAAATTCAAGTGTCACACAATTATTTTTGTAAAGTAATAGATATACACGCCAAGTAAGTTGCGAATCAATAGTCTAGCTAATTATTTTGGAAACTTGTGTTCATAAATATAAATGCTCACGAAATGATAGTTATCTTTATTAGCAGGGTTGATTGTAAGTTGTCGATTTTTTGAGAGTGATTGCAGTGGCTTATGGGCCATTTTGTAAACTATTTCGTTACTTCGAACCCGAAATATTTTCCGCAAATGAAAACTGCGGTGTTTCGTTGATAATTTTCTTTTTTGAACTCTCATCCAACTGATGGTCGTGATATATATCAGTGTTGTGATTTGACAGTTTTTATACATGCGTGGACTTACATAATTGTAATGCTTTTGTATGAATTACACTGCTAACATATCAGATCAGTGACGTAAGTCGCCATGTCAGTAATATTAATCCACAACCACCACAGACATCCCTTTTATTCTGTGTGGCTTACATGTCAACAAGTTTGACCGATTTTTAATGTTCACCGTCATTTGAAAACTAGTGCACGTCTATTTTACGTCTGTGACATTATTTATGCTTATTCATATGTGGGAGTCGACCTCTCGTGAACTCGTGCGTCGCGAATACGTCTTATAAAAAGTGATCATTTAAAGACATACTGTTTTTTCCATTTATTTCGTAAGCTCATGTTCACATTGTATTTGCTGCTAAATTTTATTGAATCATGACCAAGTTTACACAATTATCATTATAGCTTGAATGTAGCCACCAGTTGTGATAAGATTTATCAGTGAATTGGAAATTTACTTGATAATTCTATCGTATGTCTAAAGCTATATTGTATACATCCTTTGTCATTTCAAACAAGCCTATGATCTCCTATGATGTTTTTTTTACTTTTTATTTTGATGGGATACAACTGAACGCAGTTATTATACATCCGAAATTAATCAATGCATCGTTTATTCTTGCTTTATATTCAATATACAAATGCATTTGTAGTGCATTTGATCAAATCCGGTTGTCTGGTACAAGTCATTGTTTTTAAATTTTATTCTTGTTCAATTAGAATACGGTTTCTGTTTGAAACAAATTCCTTAACTATCGGTTGATGATATACGTCCTACGGTTCAACACGCTTATATATTAATATCGATGTGCATGGATACATATTCCTTTGCAAAATGCAGGGCATTTAGCTCACCATTGGCATTTAACAATTTCAGAAGTCAAATCACCTTTTCCCTGAAATTTGATGGGTCAAAACACTTTGCAAATATACTTGTCGTTTCAAACCCAAGAGTGAAATTTTATATTTGGGAGTCACAAACATATACTACCAAGGATGTAATGAACGCCCTGTGATGTATGTTTTTTCGTTCAATACGTGATTGTCACAATTGCCGTCATCTGCATGTAGTATTGTCATTAACATCTCTATGTATACTGGTGTATAATGCGTAGAGAACCAACTGGTAACGTTATTTGTCCTGTTTTCATTCAATGGGATACAACTCTAATATTAACTTGGTATTACCGGTAGCCGTTGTTATGCACTTAGTGATTTTACAGATTATTTCAAATATCGTTTTTACAAAAACGATTAAGAGTCCATTTAAGTTAAAAACATTTTAGTCGAATAAATGAATCCAAATGAGAACACGAAGTTTGTCATTATTTCCAATTACAGGTACACTTGAAACACGGTTTTGCATCGGAGTGTATGTACGACACGGTATAGTCAACTTGAAGAGGAACTGAGATGGTCTTCTTGTATTTATTGCTTCTTTCACAGCGTACAGAAGCAAGTTAAACATACAACCAACTCTCAAATCCAGACCAAATTGATGCCGCTATAAGACGGTCTTTTATACATACAATAACATTGATACCGGTAAAGGGCACCACTGTCTGTTCTGATAAATAATTCACTTTTTACACAATAATTATTTCTCCAATATAATTCATTACATCTGGTACAAATAATTATTTCTGAATTAAAACATTATATAGACACTTTATTGTTATGAATGAAAAGATGGCAAAAACAAAACAAAACTTTACTCATACATAATTTAAACCATATATAGCACTGAAATGGTGAACAATTTAATTTGTGTGACGTCAACTTTTGCGATGAGATATCTAAATAATTGTCTTTTGGAAGTAAGCCTGACGCTTATTCTGTACCCGAGGGAGCTTTTTGTGGTGTGTTATCAAGAACGTTTAATGTTGGATACTGTAAACACTTCATAATTATCGAATATTTCCATGGTTAGCTCGACAGTTGTGTATATGATGACACACCAAGTGATTACTGACAATAAGTTAGACTTACATGTAAGCAGTTTTTGAGGTCAGTTCTCTATAATTCTTCCTCAGCTGTGGCCAAAATCATATTGTTGTGGGTAACCAGATCGATATATAACAGTAAAAACATTTTAACCAATGCCATGACAACACTGACTTACCGGTAGACATTTTCAGGTGTCATGTCTCCTAGTTCGACTTGCCAAGCTCCAAATCTGAAGCATCCCCCATACATCACGAATATTATTCCTTGTGAGAAGCCAAACGCAAATCCAGCCAGCTGTGCTTGTTTGAGGAACGTTCTAAAAACATTTGAAATGAAACCAGTGAAAAACAAAAAAGATCACTTAAAAGAGGATAGCCATGGTATACAGATGGAATGCTCAACGTAATACCGCAAACTAGAAAATAAACAAAAAAAAGGGTTTACAGTTCCCCCTAAAGACAATCTATGTATCGGTGAAAAAAATGGAATACTGAATTACCTCTTTAACGTGAGTGTACCTCAAATGAAACCCTTTCAGATTTTATGATGTATAATGTTAATATTTCTAATCAAACTTCATATCGTTTTAAGCTAAAGGTCCAAGTTTTGTCTGCGTTCTTTCTGTATTTTGTTTGTAAATTCATTTAAAACATAAAAAAAATAATGAAAGGAAAATCCCGGCAAAAGGTACGTTGCGACAACATCATTATCCTATCGCATTTTAAACACGATATCTTTTTCTATTCAAATGAATATTTGAATGAGTGAATTTCTAAAATTTATCATAATATTTGTCAAAACTTTCTTCAAATGAGGATACACAAAATGGCAAAATACATCTATTCCTTTATTATAATAAAAACATTGGTGTTCCAAAAACTAAATAGGAAATATTTTTCTTTGGAGTTGGAACTGTACCAAAACGTGTAGTGTTTTGGAATGAGAGTGGGGTGCATTATTGACACGGAATTTTGAGGCCCGTGGTAATCTCCTATTGAAAACAACATGGGGGTCTGGCGTCATTTTTTGACGAGATTAACCAACATCGTATCCCAGTCGTGTCAATAAAAATTGTCTGTAGCTTAACAACTTTCAGGCGTTGGATTTGCCATCTAAACCATTCAGGATGTTTCTATCATTGACCGAAAAATGTGTCAACACCCTGGCTATTCTTCTTATAACACAACACAGAGTAGTGTCAATTGATGACAATACATAACATATATAGATGACATCTTGTAAATTTATTCAAAGAAGTTTTTGGAAATTTCAAAACATATTATGAAAACATAAATGCTTTCTCTTTTCCAATGACATTTACTGGTCGGATGTTTTATTGCCATACGTATCAAAGAGGTATTTTCGTTATTGTTCTGTGTTGTTAGGTATTCATAATATTTTCAATTGCTTTACACAGAAAGGCGGTACTTGATTTAGAGAGGGTTTGAGTTACCCTTTAGCTAAAGTAAGAGCTTCATTTTCACTCATCAAAGTACTTTCCAACCTGACCAAGGATATCTGTTTGAATATTCGCTATTTCTATACGTACCTGAGAGGTCCTTTGAGACTGTTGTAATATTCTTGAAAGAAGAATTCTTCTCTATTCAGGGTCTGAACTGTGCGGATATTCTCTATCGTTTCACTAGCCACCTACAAAACACCACTCACGACATCAACAGGTATGGAGCATATATATTTTTAATAGATATAACGGTAGTCTCCTATCTTATAACTAAAGACTGGTGCGGTTGGGGAGCCATGGAACCATTTTTTCCTCTTTTTATATGCACAAGCAGATGCCCTTATACAAGAGGGCTCTAATTCTTTCAAAATACAATACGTCTTTCATTTTGTTTGATTCTCTCTTGAGTTTTAAAATTCGGTGTTCTTGTACTTAGGATATCTAGAAAAAGGAAGAAAAGAAGGATAGGTAGGAGTGTATACCTTTGTATTAGAAACACTATTTTATGCGTACTTATTTGCGGTGAGATGAATTAAAATACCAATTCAATATGGCTGTTCTAAGAAAGTACAAATAAGACACAGCCATCTAAAACCCGTACATGTTCAACAGCAACGTTACAAAAAAGAAACCTCAAACCCCGATATTCTCGCCGCTCAACTATTTCAACTCAAAATGGGGGTTAACATTGTAAGATTTGTATATATACAAAAGGACCTCAGTTTCGTGGACAATGCCCCCTGTGTATCATTGCATCGAAATATCTTGCTGTGTTTGAGCCACTTACATTACACGCTGACGGCCTACATGTTGGATGGTAAGGGCACTACAAATTTGAGTCGTATCCGAAGGACTATTACAGTAACGGACCGCTTGGATGATAATTTATGAGACATGAAATCTACTATTTATTGTTATCATGAAATCCTTCTAAAACATTGAACATTTACTAACTTCCATGTTTTTACTTTAGTAATTTATTTCATACTTGTAATTATTATTTTTTCAATTGCAAAAACAAATGATATATACAAAATCCTTTTTTTATGAAAAAATACAAATAAATGCTTCTTAGTTCCAATTGATAACTTAGTTAACTTTTATTTTACGTACCTTGCCTGCGTTCTCTAAAGTTTTTTCATCGCCTTTATGCTGTCCAGTGACCACTTTAAATTGTAGAAATCCTGAACAAAAGTGTAACACATGTAACAAAACAAAATGAATTGTTATCAAGGTGTGTGCTAAGATATGAACATGTTCAAAATATTTATATATTAATATTGCTTATTTATGTGATGGTGCTATGGCGATCTATTTGATAACGTCACAATGCATGTCGTAACAATGAACACTACTTGAAAAATAAAATCGAAGAGTGCACCAAAGCAGGTGAAAGCTTTAGGACATTATTGAGAACCACTTTTCTCGCACCTCAAACAGAGACATCCCACGCCATACCGCATACTGGATTTTTCTATCTCGTCCGATTTGTCTTGTACCTTTACTTAACATTTCGCAGAATTATTACACTGCGATGTATTCATCCGCGTGTTTTAGATAAAACTGCTTGAAATTGACAATCTGCATTATAAATGCTGTAGATAAAATATTATCTACACTGTGAGATACGTTATCTTCTTTGTAAGGACGGACTATATTTTACGCGGAAGCAGTCAAATGTAGCTTAAGTAGTAAAGCGGTCATTATCATTTGAGGCCCCAGACGGGATACTTGCAGTTTTTGGCAAAATTGAATACTTTTTTTTATCAAACTAAAAGGTGCGACAAAAAAAAAAATCAATTACCTGTAACTGAGCAAGATCGGGTTATCTCAATCTCGGGCTAATATTCTGTAACAACCCAACCTCAAGTTACGCCTCGGTTGGGATTTTGTTACAGAATCTTAACCCTCGACAGAGACAACCCGATCTTGCTCAGTTACAGGTAATAGATTTTATCAATCTACACGTTTCAGATACAAACTTACCTGCAATGGCTAGTATAGGGGCAGCGCCAAGGACTACCAATGCAAGCTGCCATCCGAAGATGAATGCTATGACAAGGGCTGCGATAAGCGATACAAAGGATGAGACCACAATCGACAGCCGTATACCAGTGACCTATATAAACAATTAAAACAGCGTCCTATGTGACTTCTAATTGACAAAATAATAGAGATTAAATTTGACTACCTACAAATATGAATGTAATATAAACACAGGTGATTGCAACTTTAAAATAAAGTAATCGATAAAATCCTTAATTTATGAATTTCAAAACATTAACGTACTTTTAAATAGATTTGTCAAGTGTGTAAATTATGAACCATGTCATTACTAAAAGGTTATGGCGAATTTTGAGGTCTTAAAAATCAGAAAGTAGAGTCTATCATCTTGTATCTTGAAAGATGAACGTATCACACAAACACCGGTGATTGTACTTTTATCAGTTAGTAGTCGATATGCCAAAAATAATTACACTGCATCATTCAAACAGTAGGGCGTTACACTGGTTTGATGAACACTGTCATATAAATTAGGAAATTTCGTCTCTGTAGTAAACGGACATTTTACCGGCTATATTATTATACAAATTTGTAAAAACAGAATGAAATGAAATCATACTGATTACATTATCGTATAGCCTACCGAAACAGGAATAAAATGTATCATTTTGCCTATCGTACAGTCTATTTATACGGGAATCATCTGTATTGATGATTAAATAAGACAACCTACAAATGGAAGGGAATCATACCGATAACCAGGCGCGTAGCTGCCTATACGCGAGTACGCAGTTGAATCCACATGATTCTGACAAACAAACAAAAATTCAGCTAAAGTTGCCTTATGCGTACTTGACTGCATGCTTATATCAAACGTTCCTTGTCGTTTCTATACTAAATAGCCATTGAAGACACCTGCTCAAGAAGATGCCATATTTGATGCATTTCATGACGACTTTAGTGGAGATCGTGAAAGCTTCAGACGTGAATTCGAAAGTTGCCCGGTCTTTGGAAGAAACAAAGCCTTCTGACCTTAGTGCAACATTTACATAAGTCTGGTAGTGTGGCTTATTACCATGCCGGTCTCAACAGTCTCAACTGAGAGGCAGTTCAGTATCATGAGAAGGGTGAAAAACTACATGAGTTCCACTATGTCCACTGAACGTCTGTCTGGACGAGCAATGTTGCATAGTTAGACAAATGGACATTGACATTGAAAATATAATAATACAGTGAGTTCGCTGGCAAAAAGGACAGAAAATTATACTTCTGTTAGATAATCTGGGTATTATTAACATAATCGGGGCTCGTATTTGTTTGCTATTTTAGCTCTATTTAAGAGAAAAAATATGCCGAGTAAAGGGTTTATTTGTTGATTTAAGATCCTAAAACTTTCCATTTTCGAGTACTAAATAAAGCACCTCAGAATGCCCAGAATGCACCAGATTGCACCATTGTTTTTAAAAATGTCCAGAGTGCCAGGCCCCCGGACCCCCCTAGCACAGTTATGAATCCACGTTAATAGAGGCCTCGCTACGCCCTTGGTAACGTGGCACTATCAGACAACCCACAAATGGAAGGAAATCGTACCGGTAACGTGACACTATCAAGTAACCGAAATAATGAGAGGGGAATGTTACTAGCTGTCAAACACTTTTATACTCTTTACAATTTCAGGAAAGGGAGGGAATAAAACTGGCTTCACTATCGTTCAGCCTATATATATGAGAACAGCACACGCGCTTCCTTACATACAACATATAAACGTACAGAAGCAATGGTGTCACAGCAAACTACAAGGGTATCACAAAAGACCCAACCCTCCCATACATCGTTATGTAACACACATGTAGGAAAGAGCATCAAATTTGACTACCGAACAACTCCATTCCAACTACTATTAATGTATGAACGAGAAGAAATGTCAATAATCTGCCATCTTTTCTATCAACGCAGACTACTGCTATGCAGGAGAGGCAGATACACGCTATAATTCCCATGATAGAGTTTACTGTATTTGTTTTAAAACATTTATTGTTTGGTTATTTATAGCAGATGCACTATCTACACAAAGAAATAAAATAAAATTACATCTGTTATATTTTTTTTTCACCACACTTTTAAAAAGTGTTATATCTTAATATCTGTTATCAATCGGTAAGGTATCAAATTCTATTTAACGTTATGTTTAGATACGGTTGACACAATCGTAGAATTAAAGTTATTTTAGATATTTTTTTTTAAAACAAATGCATAAGACTACTAAGACAAATTATGATAGGCACTTAAATGTACAATAGATAGCAATTGTGTGAGTAAATCATACCAGATAGCACCAGAAATCGTAGGATACCCACTAAAATGGCATGAAAAATATGGCGCAAATAATTACATTAATGCACCGTGATTTTGATGCACTCATATTGTCACTGTTGTGCTTATTTCTCGGTAAAACCCAATCTAATTATAGTATTCTCTATTTATGCAAGCAAGGATCACCTTGACTTTCCCATTCCTGTATCACAATCACTATCCTCCCATGTATCGTATTTTCAGTGAATTGTATTCTGGAGGATTATGGTTTTTTTCAAACGCAGATAGGATATTACATCACATAACGAAAAAGATAATGTGTCCTTTTAAATCACGTATATGTTTTTAAAGCAGTGTTTAATATATTAATAACATTTATTAATCATTAATTAAGATTCTTACGGTTTGTAGTAGAGTGGCATCTGTAGCAAGACGCGTAGTCAAAGCACCGGTGGCATGCCTGGGATCATCAAAATATGCCACATCCTGTCGTAGCAGGGCAGAGAAGGTATTTAAACGCAGTCGCTGTGTAAGGTTCTCTCCGGAATGTGCAAAGCACACATTCTACAATGAAATAAGAACGAAATGTAGCCCATGTGTACAATAGTAAAGGCATCACAGTTTGTTTCGCATTTTTGCATTTGCATTATCGAACTAGAATATTGTTGGACATGTTATAACTGATAATGTTCATGCCTAGTGAAAGTTCATACTCCATAATTTCTTCTGGAAAGAAGATGAGTATTTATACATCTTCAAGGTCAATAAACCAGACCTACTATATCATTTGCATACGCTAAACGATGATTGGCATAATAAAAAATTATAAAAATAACAATGTCGAATGATAGCTGAATCCGAGCATAGTCGTTAGCAGAGCGTTGCGAACCATATTGTTTTATAGAAAACTGATTTAAAAAGAGGTCCTTGGAGACCAGATATTACTTTTTGCAGTGAAATGGTTATTATTTATAATGGTGTATGTACCGATATGATTTGAACAACGAAGTTAAGACCGCCAAGGGCAAGGAACATCATACTCCACAATACACTGTCTTCCCCTTGCTTAATAAAAACCTGCAAGACAATGATCATAACTATAAATACTGTATATAATTATGTTAAACACATTAGGTCACTAGGGCATGAATATGTCAAAAGGTTTAAAGGAAAAGAATATATGACACTCAAGTAAGATGTTTTTCTCCATATGGTTGACATAATTTACTGATGGCACAAACATTAGTAAGTTAATCAAATGAACAAAACTAATATCAAGAATAATTCTGGCTTAAACATATCAATCTTTTATTCCTGTTATGCTCATGTTTTTAGATTTTAAAAAAGAACATGTTTCCAGCAATACACGAGAAATAGTATTTTTACTATGTTTCGAAATGCTTCTCATAAATTATAGCCAATATTTCGTAAATGTATACAAAACTTTGGAGAATTGCACTCTTACAGATCTGAACCAGAATTTCGGCTTACTGATATCAAAAGTGATATATCACCTTAATCATCTCACTGAAGAGTATAGCGAAAGCAGGCATCGTACAACCACCTATACCCGCAGCGATACAGCCGAGCAAAATAAAGTGCCACTCTGGAGAATTCTCACGTAAAATCCGCAAATATTTCGGCGGATCATACTCTTCCTCTTCAACTTCCTGAAGATTGAAATGTAAGACATTAAGAGCAGAAATGCATTTTCCGTAAATTCAAAAACTTTACGACTGCTAAAAAAAATGAGTTTTACACAAAGTTGGCAAGTCTTGCTAAAGGGTCAACATTTGCAAGTTCAGCTTAGATATGTTTGTTTTGGTAAAAAAGAACAAGAAGATATACAACCTAATACGTTGTTTTCTGGTCTGGATCGCTGTGATATAGTTATTTCCTGTATTCTCTTTGATTAAACTATGATCATCCCATCATCATACAGGATTATGTTTTTGCTAATGCGTTATATTATGCATTAGTATAATTATAGTGTAGTTATGTAAAATAAAAGCATGAAGAATTAAGTACGGTTAAAACGAGTATGAAATTCTTTCATTAAAATACCCAAACTGTTTTGCATCTCTTATACAAAAAAACCCCATATCAACATGTGTGTGGTTACCTCTCCTAAACGTTGATGAACACACTAGAAAGCTGAGAAGAAAATATAAAAAAAACCCAACAACAACAGCAGTATTATTTCAATCATTTGACAATTAATCTCATTTGTTTTCTTTTCCATTAAAACCGCGAAATATCACCTCTTTCTCTTTTCCATCTTTATCCATCGGTACTTTTTCGTTAATAGACATTTGCCGAGACATTTGTCGGGACATCTGTCGGGATATCTGGCGTCCTTTGTCAGATGTAGATGATCGATGTGATCCCTTTCTGAATCGCTTTGCCTTGACTTTAGCGTCTCTGTCACTCTGCCCTATCTCCAATTCGGCAGCTGTAAACATACATTGACGAGGTTTTAATTTTGTGAAAGATACATTTTATTAGTTAGATCTTTGAGGGTGTTCCACATACCGTTGTTATTGCCAATGCTCATCATTGTTTGAATTCAGACCAAACAATTACCGAAAAAAATACATTATTTTCAGGAATATGATTCATAAAACATTTAATGGTTTTTGCGAATATGATTGAATTCTTTATTGACATTTCGCTTGCATGTACACCGAAATACCTGTTTTGTTTTTCGCAAAATCGGCTTGCTTTGCAATAAAGAAAATACACTTTATTGTAAGCTTGTTTAGAACGTTAAATATTTTCATACCAATATTATTCTTTTACTCATTATATTTATACCTATTGATGCGTCTTGCTGTGTTCTAAAACATTTGACATAATCATTGGTTTCATTTTTGTGTGATAAATACGTTCATTTGTAATATGATCGTCTACATTTTCAAGTGAAACCGTTATCATTTATTCGCCCTCTTTGTCATTAACTATAGAGCTTTGATACTTCCTCGTTCCATGTAATGCTCGAGCTTGTTTAACGGTACATACAGTAACAGTTGTTTCATTATCAAACAATGATTCAATTATTTAACAATAAATGAATATCAAACCTGCAATACATCAATCAAATATTAGCTCTATAAATCATAGTTCATCATCTGAGTTCCCAATCAAACAATGACTTATTCAATTATATAATATAAAACTACACTTTATTAATTTTACAACAATTGAGAAACAAATTGTACCAGCTTATTTCAATCGTTCTTGCTGGCCCGGATGCTTGCGCCTAAGGGTCTTTATGTGGGAGGAAACCCAAGTTCCCGGAGAAAACTAGCGTGATCGGGCATGTGACCCCTCACGTTTGATATGGGAATTGAACCCTGGCCGTCTTGGTGAACAGCAAGTAGGCTATTGACTTTGCCAATCGACCAACGATCTTTTATGTAAACGGATAAAAAAATACCAGCTACTGTATTCCTGACCACTAAATCGAGCTGTCAAAACTACTGAGCTTCAAAGACTCGCACAACTAATTCAGCCAATCAGCAAGTGTTTCTTACGATTGTTATCCCTAAAATTCCTTAGATTTGTTCCGGTTAAATACAGTGTAATTACAGAGTTATTTAAATGGATAATTGTTGACATATTACACATTGAATGAAATCTACAAATATTGAAACTAAGAAAAACTTATAGTTTTAGTATTAGCAGATTTTAATATATGATGGTGGATTGATATGGGGTCAAAAGTCAGGCATGCCTTAAACGATCTTTTAAGCCATAATAACCGTAAATAAATGCATTTTGAAGTCTTTTTCAGGTATGTATCTATAAATCTAGACCGTTGTCTCTAGTGTTGAACTTCAAATATTAACGCTATTAGCTCAAAGGCTTAGTTATAACGTAAAGNCCCCCCCCATATTTGTTTTATTTGTCTCCTTAGCAGTATTGTAATAAGAACTCTTCACAGGTTATATTTGTTTTCAATAAGTTCAAGACCATACGTATAGATCATAATGCTTAATTATAACACGAAATAGATTTTTGCTACCTGAATCTTTGCCCCCTTCTCCCTCTTCATCAATGTGCTTGTCATCGTCTTCGTCGCTTTCTTCTTCTGCGAGGGTTTGTGCCATAACCAGCTCGTAATACAGGCCTCGCTTGTCCATCAGTTCTGTGTGTGTGCCTTGCTCGAATATTCTGCCATCGTCTACTACACATATGACGTCAGAGTTCTGAATTGTTGACAGTCTGTGTGCTATCACTAATGTGGTCCTTCCTTGTCTTGCCTAGAAGATACAGTGTATCATATATTAATTTATTCAAGATTGATAAAACTTATATCACTCATACTGTGACATGTATTTGAAAACTCACAAATGCGATTTGATAAGAAAATGTGAGTACATCAAAATTCTTGAAGCGTGGTTCCTAATTAGAGGTTGACCGGCATTTTGTTTTCACTGTCATAGCTACATGCACTGTCATAGCTGACATAGGTTGTCGTCACGATCAACGCCTCCTGGTAATTGTAACAAAGCTCATAGCTTGCTTTGGAAGTGGCAAAACAGAACAATTATGTATAGATACCCTTTTTATTTTTTTTATATTCATAGTGTAATTCGGTACAAACGAATGTAATAAAATGTTACTATTTCCATTATCCTGATAGTACTGGAGGTGATTATAACATTTAAAATATCTATTTACCCGAGGATTATTATATTGTACCCACCACCATTTAATACAATTAATCACTTAATTGAATGGAGCCACAACGACTTCGTGTTAACAGGAATATTCGTGATACATGTAGCTGGGCTTCTGTAGCTGGACTTCTTACCCTGTCGAGAGCGTCTTGGACGATCTTTTCGCTCTTTGAGTCGAGGGCTGACGTCGCCTCGTCCAGGAGTAATAGTCGGGGGTCCCGCACGAGAGCACGCGCTATAGCTACCCTCTGCTTTTGTCCTCCGGATAATTGTGCACCTCTTTCCCCGACCAATGTGTTATAGCCCTAATGTACGATAAAGACGTATGTGGAATATATAATTATTTACCAGTTGAAGGATATAACTCATGCGCCAAACACAGGCGTAATGTGTAAGATAATACGAGTACAAATGAGCATCTCTAATCCCACCACCATTAATTCAGTTTGTGTTTCCTGCAACCATTAGTCCATGTTTTGTCCACTAACCACCTACCGTTAATCCGGTTTATGTCCCGATATCTAGCCTACACAAAATCGGCTGTTACAATGTACAGACAGCGTTTTAGGTATTTTTGTTTTTCCCATAAAATTGTCCCAGTAATCTTATCTTACCGTCTCACAAAGGCGGTTATCCGCAGAGAACGAGATTATGTAAGCTCATTGTATCCTTAATTTGATTTTAGGATACATTGAGCTTACCTAAATGATATGCGGGCGGCGCATTGTCAAAACACAGCACACAAAGGTATAGCTTGTATGCCTCTAAGTTACGGCTGCAAAACCGGAGACAGTAAAGGAGGTTATTAGTTTCACCATAGTCAGCTTAAACACTTCAGTCATTATTTGAGCTACAAACTTTTAAATGCTTGAAATTGAATGCGGTATTATCTATTGGTACGTGTTCTATTAAGAAAGAAGTGGAAATTAATCAAAGATTTTTTCATCTTTCCATGAACGTTTGTCGGCTTACAGATGTCACGTTGATTGATTTAACTGGCATATAACACCTCTTCCCTTATAGAATTAAACAAATCTGTGCTGGTAACCAGCAAATTAAATTACATATCAATAAAAGCAGCTTCGCTTTATCGCTCAGTAATAAGTGTTGTTTTATAATGAACTATTGTTTAAAATAATTAATCTCAGGAACGAAAACCTTTGGTTTTAACAAATCCTGTCCTTAGTAATGTGTTTGAATGTGATTGATTGATGACGATTTTATTCTTCCATAACAGCTAGGTCATATAAAGATGGAAACTGGTCAAATCAAAGATCCATTTACAGCTATCATCTATTCTGAATAAGTAGCATGCCAGCCAAACCAGTTTTGTTGTTCTGAACAGGGGATGCCTGGTAACACACCACAGAAAGGAGAGGGAAAACTTACGTCTGGTAGAGCTGTGATGAAATCGTGTGCATTGGCGGCCTTTGCTGCGTTCTCTATCTCGTAATTAGTTGCTTCCGGTTTACCCAGTCTGATGTTCTGCGCAATGGTGTAGTCGAACAGAATAGGTTCCTGCGATACGATACCGATATTTTGTCTCAGCCAGCTCACGTTGAGATCCTTCAGGTTCACGCCATCTAGGACAACCTGTGACATCATCAACAATTAATTAGTTGACTTTCGAATGAGATTAGGACAGTAGCAAATCTGTTAAAACTTTCATATATTAGAGGTGGAAACGACCAGTTGATCAGAGGGTGTCTTGTTTGAATACATTTATTACAAGTCTGTTGCTGGTTCCTTACGAGTAAGACAAACAACTAATGTACCAGTTTTAATTTATTATTTAAGTTTTAGTTTATTATGTTTGGTCAGCTAGATTCCTTACCTCTCCATCATTGGGGTCGTACAGTCGCTCCATTAAACTCATCACTGTCGACTTCCCACACCCACTGGGTCCCACCAGTGCCACAGTCTGGCCTTGCTTCACAGTCATGTTAAAACTCCTGAGGACCTTTAACAATAAAAGTCAATGAGGACATGTAACAAGAAATTATTATTTACGGTAAATCAACTTTTAAATATTGTGGATATTTTCCGTGCATGTTAATTTTAGTTGGTAAATTCAACAATCAAAAGCAGAAATGAGGAAAAAATATGAAAGCATAATACTTGTTACGTTGGAAGAGTGTAACATTGTCTTAAGAGCAGTATATCCGTAATTATCGGGACAATGGCATTTCCATCAAACGGAAAGAACTTAAACCCAAGTTTGTCAAAGTTTCGACTACAACAGCAACACACACGGGTAGATCGGCATATCCTTATAGACAATGTAAGGACTTACTATTTTCCCAAAACTTTATCCGTATTATTAATAAAGGAATAATGATAATAGAGTAGTTATTTAAAATAAACCAAAACTATGTTTAGGGGGAAACAAATGCAGGTTTTCAAAAACTGCAATCTTGTTTGCAATTGCACTTTTTCCTGGAGAGTATGTCTGTGTTCGACTGTTTATATATCTGTGGTTTGTTATAGTCAAGCTGTATGATTATACATTTTGGTAAACACTATTGTCCTATATTTAGGTAATGCTATGAAGCTGATAACGATGAGTCTGTCGTATCGTCGATTTCAAGAGCATACAATGTAAATGATTTGAACGTGGTTGTTCAAATTTGTTTCCAGAACAAAACATCAGCAATGTGTCTGAATGAGAAATTGACGGATAGGGACAATAGCTATCTCTTTTTGGGATACCAATTGTAAAAATTCAGTTCCGCATAGATACAATTAAGCACAACAAGTCTTTTTTAAAACAGATCCATGAAAACAACTTGATGATGATAGTTTTCTGTAAGTTAAAAATCGACGAACACATTGTTTTATTACGTACCTTTGTCTCTGGGCGCTTTTCTTTCTCTGGGTAAGAGAAGTTGATATCTTTAAACTCAATATTTCCTTTGATTGCCGGGAGGCTACGCCCACTGGGCGATGAAGCATCAATAGCCGATACCTGCAGTAAAACCAGAGATACAAGATGTGTCGGCTACTTCCCCTTTCATATACAAGCTAAATTTCAGCTTTTCGTTCTTTTAATACAATTGAAAAATGCCGTAAGATTTATCTAAAACACATATGAAAATGACGAAATGGTGATCATAGTCCCTTTGACTTCAATTCAAAATCACTATACATAATGCTGTTTAATGAGTGTCAGTCATCGGGTAAACTTTGTTGTTATATTTTGTACGCGACCCTCGACTTTCCTTTTGATTTTTTCATGAAAATCATTATATGTATATTTATCTAAAATCGGCGTTGATATCACATGAGATTAAACCTTCAAATAAATCATTACGTCATTTATTTTAAGAATATTAAAATAATAATGAAAAAGGAATTTATTTGTTCCACACAACGATTGCAATGCATTCCACTGATAGACCATGAGATAAATATTGCACATATTCAGGGACCTCTCATTTAAAGTTTAACATTAAATCTACTTACACGGTCAATAATTTCAATAAGAACTGCCGCCGAGCCTTTAGCGATGAAAACGTTGCCGATAGCTGGCGCTGCATTTCCGATGGAGAATGACCCGATCATAACACAGAAAAAGACCTTGAAACAAACACAACAGACAAATATATTGCTATTAAAGATGTATTACTCAATGTGAAGGAAATGTTAAAACGTGTCAGTAGATATCATGTATTAGCATATGTCCTTATATATATAGTTGATTTAATTTGATATATTCATTAAAGGACGCACGCAGCCAAATAAGCCAATCAGCCAGTGTTTCATATCAAGTGAATTACTGAGCCACTGAGGATTTCTGGTTTTTAAATTCTGGACGTTATGACTCTCTTCTATGTCAACAGACCCGCTGGAAACCATTTTGAATCCTCTGTCAGATATGTATCTATGATTCTCGACAGTCAGTTGTTTGTCAATGGTGTTCAAATTTAAATATTTAATGTAATCAGTTAAAATGTTAAGTAATACCATGTAGTAAATTATTTAGTGGTGGGCGTCTTAAAGGCTAAGTTGCATAATAGGACATATAGCATCAAAATATTTGGGACGGGCACGAAGTAAAAGCACGTCAGAGTACGTCACACTGACGTGACCACTTATAAAAAATAGGGGGATATGACACATTTGACAAACTCACGGTATTTGAAAAATACATCCGATTTTTTAGGCGGGAAAAAAACTAATTCATAAGTTTGTCGAAAGTGATAAACATATGTTTTATTCATGCAATGACAATAATTAAATACGTATCGATGTGAGTACGTGACATTACCTGAATTGACTTAGATTTACAAAACTAGTGCCGTCGTTGAAGCAAAAGACGCTTACGCTTTAGGAACATATCGTCTTTTTTCTCCTTGTAATGTTTTTAACGGTCTCAATGTAAATATTCCTTTGTTCATATTTTGCCCTAGTGTTATCGAATTTGAGTCCGTTGTATGGTTTTATTAACACTTCTTTTCTTTTTCTATATTTTAAAGTGCGAATCAACCAATTGTCCATACTTATTTTCAAAACGAATGTCACTGCAAAGTTTATTTTCGGTATTTTTGAAAAGAACAACACAATTTTGCGAATTTAGCAAATAAAATAGGAAGCTATACTTCATCTATGATAAGAAAAGTTGATTATGGAAAATCATTGTGGTAGACATTCGCACGTTGTAAAATAACCTACTGTAAGCACTGTCCCTGGTTCTATGCCGTCGGTACCATTACTGGTATAGTAATCCTTGACAAGTTCAGTCCCATACCTAAAAAAACCAAACCAAAATAGCTCACATCTATTGGTCTATAGGGTAAGGTTCCAAATATGAGCGAAAACTGAACAAAGGGATATTGCCAAGATCTGGTCTTATAATTTTTTCCGAAATAAGGCATCATGTGATAATTCTACTTTCAGTTGAGTTCAAGATAGTCAAATAATATTAAGTTAGAAATAAACCCTGATTGTAGAGAATGCTTGATATTTTATTTTTATAAAAATAAATGATATTAAGAAAAGATGGATTTTACTTCTTTTAAAGATATAAATGAAAGAAATTAGGAATTACGTACTTTCGGTTTAACTAAAACGGATCAGTGTGTAACTGTATAATAACATCGGCATATTATTTCAGCTCAATACAAATAGCATGTAAAGTGTCATAAGGGAGAGCATTAGGTACTTACCAGAATGCTAATCCGTAACTTGAAAACATCGTCAAAAACATAAATCCCATCAAAAATCCTTGCAATGAGCCCTTTTTCACTCCAATCTTCCTACATATTGCGAGGGCACTTTCGTACCTACGAACAACATCAAAACTCTGACTTTTCTATCTTCTTGCAGTATCGAATAAAATGTTTTCCATAAATATTGATCAACAATGAGTTCTAATTGTACAATCAATATCACAAGAAACACCAATAAAGAAGCATGTAGTATTATTGTCAAACTTCATCATTATTACTAAGATTTTTTGAACTTCCCCTTTTTGTTTTTTTAAATTGGTACTCTGGTAAACTGTTTTCTATTTATACAACCAGGTTTTTTTTCTTCACAAAAATAATAAAAATCTCGTGTAAGATTTTCTTGTGTAAGCATTATAATTAGCCATTCGACCACATTTGAAATGAAACGTTACATGTAAGACTTTGATATAAGCAAAATGTTAACCATAATTATTTAGTTACTTCGGACTAACTGGATACACCTGCTAAGAGTTGGTAAACATCCTTGGTTACCAAATACTGTGTAACAACCTAAACGTTATTGCATTGGTCAATCTTTCAATTATCACGTCACGTAACAATCCTTTGTGACGTCATAATTCACGACGACTGTTTCCCCGATCGAAACACCTTAAATAATGTATTTCCAAGAAAACTATATTTTTTTAGATATTATATCGGAATATTATGGGAGAAACAACGGTCCCAAAATTAGAAATGGTTGATTATCATGTTTGGGTCTTACTTTCGTTAGATACTTTTCAATTGTAAAAGAAATTCGGTAAACTGTCTTTATACAACTCGAACATTTACTAACTCCAGTTAGATGAACATGAGCATCACTGGTTGGGAACCCTCTGTTTAAAACATCCCGACTGTAGAAAGACGCTGAGTCTACCTGATGCGTTCCTGTCTTTGTCCATTGTGAGATATAACTGTCCGTATACTCGACAGCACTTCTTCGGCGATACTGCCTGCATCAGAATATGATGCTTGTGAGTCTTTTGCCAAACTTTGCATTTTCTACAAAATAAAAGTTTATAAAAATACTTACTAGAAATATAAAGCAAGGAAACAAACTACATGTATTACAAAAGTGGCATGTCAAAAGCATAACAAAGTGAACATTTCACCGCATGCACCATTTAACCGCTTATACGCATGGTTCGCTGTGCTTATATCAAATGGCTAGGACTTTTACACAATAATCAAATCCATCAACATATGTCATTTTGTATCTTGAAAACAGTTACAACTAGCACGCAATTTATGCGTTTCTATGTAATTAGGAAATATTTATTTCAAATCCTTTCTATATCACACTTTATGTGGCGATTTAATTATCAGTCTTGCAAGCTGAGGTTTGCGATACAAATCAACAAAGAATAAGGAAACATGAATTTGTTCAACTTGTTAACAAAATGAGTACTGAACAATATATGATTAACAACATTACGCCTCAGGAAGCCTTCGACAATCAGATAGTTTTATTTGGTGGGATTCAACTAAACCACGTATCCGTGGATCTATCTAGTCTGGTGAATCAAGACAATAGCTGGTTTCCGAAAAGTATTTAAGATTTTAATGACATATATGCCTAATGATGCGTTTTCCAAGTAACATATATAATTAAAAAAATGAAAATCGTTAATTTGATAAAAGATTTTATATCCTTTTTTTAAAAAAGACAGATAATTTTTATACTGAATAATTGGGTATAGCCTGAGCCAACTCCTTGTCAATTATTTTACCTTTCCAAATAACGCCGAACAGATAGCCATCACTGGCGTAAGTGACATCATCACCAGTGTCATCTTCCAACTCTTCCAGAATCCAATAGCAAAGCCGCTAAAGAAAGCTGCCAAGTACTGTATGCAAAAGCCCATCTTATCTCCGATACCTTCCCTTACTCTCTCAAGATCACTGAAGCGAGGAGACAATAGCAACAATTATAGTACCATGCATATATTAAAAAGGTTAATTACAATTTCAAAAAAAGTCTAAAATGACCTCTAGAATGAGATTATAAAACGAACTATGCATATTATGTTTCTTAAAGAAAGGTTGTTTATGCATATTATGCACCATTGGCGATATTATCTAAACTGGTTATTAACAAGTGATCTTTGAAGACAGGTGGACGATATAAACATATGGTTTAAGGTAGATTCCCTGTAAATACAGTTGTTCAAATCTCGATTTCAAATCCTCGCAAATAAAATGACTAAATCATGATCTAGAAAATAAATATTCGCAAAAAAACCCCAATAACAATAATAATTATAACTAAATACTAAGTTTTTTTTTAATACAAACAGTAAATGATAATATATTTTGCGAACTTTTGAAAACGTCTGTTTCCGTTGTTATGCAGAGCATGCAAAAGACCGGTGTCTCTACTCTAAACCGTCCCTCTGACTGCCTGCTGTTATAGTGCTATTTGGCGAAATGTCTCGATATTTTCTGACAGCTGCCTCTACCTACTCGGCACATTATAGCTTAGTAAGTTCTTTTAAAGCGGGTTAGAGTCGAGACACTGGTCATTTGCATTCTTTAATTGACAAAGGAAGCAGTCATTTTCGAAAGTTTTAAAAATAACTTTTCATTTACTGATCGTGTTAAAATCAAACGTTATATCTTTAATTCATACCAAACTGACTCATTCCAAATCATTATAACTGTATAACTGTATAACGGTATAACGTACTCTGCTAATCTTGCTGTCAGTTGTCCGCTCTTTTGTTGGTCAAACCAGGAAATGTCCTGTCTCATTATTGACCGAAAGAAACTCAGTCGGATCTTATTGACCTGTCTTTCGCATGACGTTGTCCAACAGGAAGTCTGTTGGATATAAGTTCATATACAATAAACATAGTAACCAGTGCATTTATTTTTGGAAATGTTGAACAAACTTGATATTTGTACATCATGAAGTAAAACTAAAATGATTGTTTTTATATATTAATGTGCTCTAGAAAATATTTTATAGCTAATGTAAGACTTTGCAAAGTCGACCTACAGGTATATATATGCGCTAAACATTAGCGAGCATTGAACTAATTTAATGTACTAGTAATTTGTGCATACAAATAAGCATCCTGCTCTTGCATTAAAACCATATATTTTAGTGGCTCTTGGTATCGGAATGGTAGTACTCGAAACCATCAACTAATGGATTCAGCAGACTACCACAGTAATACTATATATAATTTCAATACAACATCGGTAAACAAATACAACATCGGTAAACAAAATAGAGAAATTACAGACAGTATACGCAGCGATAAAGCTAGATTTTATCTTACACTTATATATTAAAGTATATAACAGCATATTAATAATAATACTGCGCAAACGTAAAAAAAATACAGTTGGTAAATAAAAGGCATAAGTACATATACTCCCCCCCCTCCCCCACTCACCCCGCCCCGCCTGCCCGGTATATTACCTGAAAGTAAGCAGCCACGAACACAGCGGCGCCGATGTATACTTGATACAATGCATATTTTGTCATATTATCACTGAACTCTTGATTCACGTCTGAACCGTTGATTGGCACTGATGTTGATTCATTTTTCGTGTCATTAGTGCCTCCTGGACCTAGGAAAATGTACAAATGAAATGAACATTATTTAGTGGTAAAAAAAATCTTTTCTTTTCTGTTTTTTTTTTTTATCATATTTAATTGCTTATTACATTGTGTCCATCACTATCACCAAATGATCCGTTATGTGTGTCACTCTTATGATATTTATAAAATGTGTTTATAACAGTTTTAAATTTTATTTTAGTGTGAAGATTTTCTTAATCCCCTGTATAATGAATTCAACTAGGTATTATGTCATAGCTAAGATTGCATTGAGGTATTCTGTAACCCTCTCACTGCTTTGCAATTAAAATGTACATGTAAAGCAAGCTCGTAACAATAGGTATTAGTGGTTGTCATATATTGATAATTTATTTAATAACGTAACAAAACGAACGAACCTAAACACTATCTACAACATGTATGGTTGACGCCATGACAATTAATGAGACAACTATCGGAACTCTTGTAGAAAAATATTATTATGTTCTAAGATAGAAAAACCCTAGAATTTCTAATATTGTATTCTAGAAATAAATTTGTCATCTCGAACTGACTTTGTCAATTTCATTTATTGAGTAATATCAAACAGAACCCACGCGTTATCATATCCATATTTTATCTATTTATATATTTTTTTGTTGAAATAATTAAGAAATTAAATTTAATTATTAACTTATATCGGCATAAAACATAGGAAAAAGTTTCCACATCATAGAAATAGAAAAAAAATCGTTTCAAGATTTAAATACCGTTAATTCAGAGGTCTGTTGTTATGCTTTGGTGTTATAAACATATACTGTTAAATTGTTTTAATGCTTTAAATACATATGTAGCTTTTTGCAAAAGAAGGCTTAAAGTTGCTATTTCGTTCCAGAGATTAAAATAATCAGCAAAATTGATCCGTTCAACAAAACGTAGATTCAATACAGCCAATAGAATTACTTACCAAAGACAAACTCAGTGGTCATCTGTCCGAAGACAATGGAGAGAACCGGCCACCCAGCACCGTGAACCATAGAGAATAACGAGCCGAGAAACATGAGAAACTTGTCTCCACAGGTAGCATATCGGTACTGTAAAATAAGGCAAACTATCTTAACATGAAGTTCGGTTTATCTGTTATCATTATCATTTGAGAAATTACAATCGCAATAAGTTACTTGGTATGTCCTTATATCTTGTAAATATAAAATGTTGACGGAACATTTTTTATTACTGCGATATCTTTGCAACGTTTTGTTTTGAATTGCATATTTCTGTCGGCGCCATACATAGCACCATTAACATAAATATTCAACAGAATGCTTTTATGTTATTGTAGATTAAGAAACCGTTTGATAGCTAAATAGAAAATTTGAGACTTTAATAATAAATGCATATTCTTAAACAATTACTGTATGTATCCTCAGTGTCCGTGTATTGAATTCATTGGGAAACACAGATTGTGACCCCTTAGCCTGATATCCCTTTGTTTCCCATTCCCCACTTCCTAGGTGCAACATCAGACGGTTTTTGAACGATAAACGCATATCCTGTCATGCATGTAGGTCATACTTCATTATAATTAACAGTTCCAGTTGCTACAATAGACTAATTCGTATTAAACGTTTACCTATACAGTTAGTACACGTTCATCATAAATCCCTTCAGCAACCACATTGTATGATGTAAAGCAAGTCTTAATACGTTGCCGATTGCCTATAATATGCTTCTGAACGTATAACTGTTAAATACAATCTGAACGGATCAATAACTAGAAATATGAAGACCTAAACACAATGGCCGGACAACGCAATTCGAATCCTGGGCCCGTATTGATGAAACCATTCTCATGATCAACCATTGATTGTATGTTCCAACCGAATTTCTTGTCCTTGTTATAACTTATTGTCACCCTTCTAATTTGTAACACTCTTTCTGATTGGATATCTTGCCAGTGTCTATATTTCTATAGACCTAGACCCCGCTTGGCGGGGTCTATAAAAGCACGTCCAAAGGGAGATAACTCAAACTAGAATCTCTCTTCATAACAACAAAGATGGCGTCCGACACCTCACAAGCGTTCGAGGTGTGCCAATCATTTAATTGACAGCAAATTCAACGATAAAGACAATGAGGGGCCGCTATGGTGCTAATTACAAAGATGGTTGTGTATTGTCCGAAATATTGCCGCAAAGGTTATTCCGGTAGAGGCATTTTATGGTAGCAGTCAAATAAGCTCAAACTCACAAAGTGACTTATAACTTTGCAGACACAAAAGTATTAAAGATTGTCAGGGTGACAAATTCGTTATCTCTGGGTTAGGAGGGGTCTACTGGCCCATAAACCCTTTGGTTTTTATAGACCCTCGCCTTTAGCTCGGGGTTTATAAAAACCAGACGATGTCTATGAGGCCGTAGACCCCTCCTAACTCAGAGATAACTAATAATAAATCAATCTCATTTTGTCAATGAAATGAAAACATTTTGAAGAGACGTAAAGCCAAATACTGTTTTCAATGTTTAGATTTGACTTTTTTATCGCTTGACATGATTTAACTGAGGTTAAAAAAAGTCAGTATGAAGAACGGTTTCATGAATATGGGCCCTGCACTTCCGATTGTTATACTACCGCTCTAACCGATTGATCTATCTGGTCTAGGGAAGTGTCCTGGACGAACTGTGCGACAGTTATATCCGAACGGAATTTAAATGGAGGTAACTGTTCATAGGAAAAGACACAACGCAATGGGACAGAGATCCTGAAGCTACATAGCTACGAAAACAAGATACTGAACACTTACCAGATCTCCCAACGAAGCTGATTTTGGCCTGCAAAAACAAGAGAAAAATAGACTATTACTGTCCCCTTACATTTGGAGAGTGACATGGAGATGACGAAAGTGCACAATCGATGTTCGTACATCCCCACTGGATACTACTAAAGTGTAATTTCTGTCTGTTAATTACAAAATTTATACTTTTTTTTTAAAGTGATTTCACCAATGATAACAAAGTCTATTGAATGAGAAATAATATTCTTTTTACGTGTAAGACGAATTGGAAAATTATTTTGTAAGCTTATAAACAAACAATCGGGAGGCTGCTCAGATGTCGAACTAATACCCTGTCTACCGACATAAGACAGACAGACACCAACTCTGTGTTCGTACGCTATTTCTGTAACGTCCTTTGTATATGTGATATGCGTGTTAGGCGCTACAAAGTGTAATCCTATGTGTTTGTTAACGTTGTAAATTGCTTCAAATATATACGTTTGACCAAAGCCGTTATAGGAAGGATAAATCAGATAATCCTTACTATACATTTGGTAATGCACATCTCAAAAATCTTCAGCCATAAACTAAAGGTCAATAAATGTGTCACCAAATGTAATGTAAACTATATCCCTAATATCGATCCATTTTACAAACCATTCATTTGCATATCGTATAACATGGTTAAGATATACTAGATGTGCATATGTGGACCACATACTAAATATCGATCACACATTTGTATAAAAACGTAAAATAAAAAAACTCGGCTAAGTATATAACCTTGTACAGGTTGTTTAGTCTACCTGTCTGAGATGTGTGTTTAGGATCACATGTGAGGTAGCTGGGATACCCTAGCTAGCTTACATCTGGGTCCATATAGATGAGCTTTTAGAAGGTGGTAATGTTGATATACAGTTCTCGACTGAAGTAATATAACGTCGAAGTGACGCCCATTAACACGTGTCTGGCTTTGTCACATGAACGTTTCTACAAACCATGCACACATGTACCAACCTGAAAAATGCTTAGAAATAGAAGTAAAATGTATTAAATGTGTTGAGGTTACGTCTGAGAGTTAAGCATCGCCTTCCTGTATAGCGTGAATAATCATGCTCGTTTCCTTCATATTAATTTTGCTTTTTTGTTTTGTTTTCTTTAAAGGCTTCTCTTTTCAAAAACGATTACTTTGCTTTTAACGTCTCAAGAGCAAAGGACTTTCCTTATTAAGGAACCGGATATACGGAAGGCTTAGATCAACTACAGACCTAGGGAAGCCTACATAACAAAGGGAAAGAATTATCCAGTACTTCCTAAGAAATGTTTGCAATAATTTGATAACTTGATCTACTACAAGTCAATTATACTATCAACTTTTGTTAGGTCAATCAGTAATCCAATATTGAATATTATATTCTGCAGCAATACTATCGTCGTCAATAAACAACACCTCATATATTAACCACCACTTTAATATATGTGACGGGTCGCAGTCACAAGCGGGCACAGGGACCTATTTGATGATAACAGCTAGTCAACGGTCATCGCCCTATAACCATAATCGTGTGTTGGTTGGTCAGAAACCATTAATACAAAAGTGTCCGTAGCTTTTCCACTAGAAAGCATTGCTCGAGGTCGGGGAACAGTTGTTAGATAAACTGAGACCAGGGCATATTATAGTAGGTCAAGTATATATAGGTATATCGGTTATCTGTACTAGGACTTGTATCAATGACACACGCTAAAGTGGTGTGCACGACCTTCGGCTTCGGATAAAAATATATTGTAATAATGTTTAGTTCTCCTTCTATGACATAAGTTATATTTAATCGCAAAACACCAAATGTAACATTATTTCATATCATTCATTAGTAGATATAACGTTTTTCAAATTTCTTTTAAAAATGTTTTTGTTTTTCTCCCTTAAATAATTTCAATAATATGGACGAACGACGACGAAACCGCTAATGCGATACATCTTGCATGTATTCTTCGGTAGCAGATGTGGGTGAGGGAGGGGGTGGTTGTCGGAATGGAGGTGAGGAAGGTCTTTCGAGATCTTTGGATGAGGCGGTTCGTTACTTTGATATGATCACAATTTACATGGCGGGTGTCTTCGATGAAGCAGAAGACGCCTATCCTTCTGGAACACCTGGTCGCATTATCCTTGTACTTTTACAAGGGTCTCCATTTGAATTGTTTTTTAGTTCATATTCTCCCCTATTTTGATTGATTTTGATGTTGACTTTTTCGATCCTTAAAATATAAAATGAAAACATGCTGCTCTGTATAAGAAAATGATGATCTTTTCCTTAACTGTGTGTGTGTTTAATTGAGTATGTGACATCTAAATACTACACCTGATACCATTTTGCTGCACGATTACATCAAGTTGAATTGATACATTGATTTTTATAGATACGTTTGTCGAAACAGTTCATTGCTTAGCCAGGATGTTCTACAGGAAACAGTTCACTATAAAGTGATGTCACGGTAGTTATCAGGGCCTTGTTTCCCCCTAACAGATTTCACTGAACCAAGTGATTAAGGACGAAATATTGACTGTGTTTTAGATCGTAGACCTACATAATTTCCTGGATTTGACGGGAGATATGATAATTTTCCCATAGCAATGCGGAAAGCCAATGCCCTTCAAGAAAACTAGTTTTTGTGTAAAATCAAGATGAATTGTGTTTTGATTTCTATCTTGTCCTTTATGTGGCCTTTTGAGACAGCTTTATTCCGATTTAGTGTGTGTTCATGTTGTTCCCCAAATGACCATGTTAGACAGTTTTTTTTGGTTTTAATTGGCCATATGTAAACCGATATATTTAAATGTACCTGCCAATAGCTGTGATTTTGTCGAATACTTGAATAAACATTTCTATTATGTGAAACAAATGTGTTAACACTTTTTTTGGGGGTATACACCGAGTTCTATTTATTTGGCAATTCCGTGATAAATCGATGATAACGCATGTGTGTTATCAAAAGACAAGTTGTAACCTTGTATACACGTGTAAGATAACAGTAGTGTATTGGCCCAGTGTCCTCCAGCGCTATCGTGTTAAACCTAAGCAATATCCAGCTCAAACGTTTTTGTTACTCACCGTGATCAATGAGTAAGCTGTTAAAATTAGAATGACGACATGTGTAAGACCCAGCAAAGTGCATAACATGAAAAGAGTTTATGTTAAAGTACTTCTCGATTGTAGCAATATAATATTTTGAATTTCATGACTTAATCTAACATAAGGATGGTTTAATATATAGGTCATCGTGTAGATATTCCTTATTGACAGTGAATCGCAACTGTTAACATGTTATATATAGACGTATATTTGAGTATACTATCTATTTCATTTTTTACCTTACCATAATATGTCAATCTAATTATATTCTAAAGTGCCTGTATACAAAAGTGTCTATGTGTAACCAGTAGTGTGAGTATTGATACCTTACAGTTACCCGTAGAAAGACGAAGAAGGAAGTACCTATCTAACATATCTATTATGGAGGAAGCTAAACTAAACAGGTATTTTACTGCACCATACTACTGTCTCGTCCAATAGGGATTCATCAGTGCTACTAAAGGTAAAACAAAACATGTCCAAAGTGTCCCGAACACGTTAAAAATACAACACAGGGGAAATGTGCCTACGAAATCCTTTATAAATAACTCAAACTTACTCTAACTACTATTTCGTGTAAACTGTGCAGGAATCAATTCCAACTACAGGGTCACATTAGTTTGGTCTGTTTGTCTGGACTTCCTATGGCCAGCAATGATCATTACATATACACGATGAGCCCGCTCTTCGCTAACCACGCTTACCACGCTTACCTCGCTAACCTCGCTAACCTCGGACACTGAACATCCTACAGCAGTCTGAACATTATAAATCGTCACTCATAAAGCTCTACAGATTGATTAGCTCTTTGGATGCTTAGTTTATTTACTGATTGCATACACAGTCAAAATATATTTTGAGTGTTAACGATTTATTCTCAATTGTTTTGTTTTCATCAACATTACAATGCCATTATTAAGCAGGTTATACTGAACAATTCTTTTTTTGAAACCGTGAGTTTTTTTTATAACCTAGTTCAGCGGATAGCGTTTCGTCGGCTTGTCTTCAGGGTGAGCACAGGTTATCACAGTTAAGTTTCAAGTTTTATACGAACTTTAGGCCATTGGCCAATCAGTATACAATACATATTATACACAAATCATGGACAATGTACAGATAATGAAGGCAATCATATTCCATTATAATACTCTTAATTTGTTTGCCTCATAGATGAATTTTCCTAGTATACACAATTCTTTAATATTATGGACACTCAATAACTGGACGACTTTTAACACAGATGTTTTTTTTCCAATAATAGCTTTTGATAAAACGTGATCTGAGATTTTGGAATTTAGAACAGACTAATAAAAAATGAAATTCGTCCTCTACTTCAGAGGGGAAGTTACACTGTTTACAATATCTACGTTCTCTAGGTATATTTTTATACCTTCCAACTTCTACAGCCAAAGAATGTGTAGATGTACGGATTCGAGTTAAACAAATGCGATATTTCATTGGTATATATTTGGTGAGGTAAAATTGTAATGATTCTCCGAAATCAATGATATTTTTATACAATAAACATTTTGGAGAGTTTTCCATTGAGGCCCTAAGGGATTGTATGCCTTGATCAAAAATTCTTTGTTTTATCAATGGTAATAACACATTTTGCTGAGAAATACGTGGATTTAACCAAACATCATTAAGACCTAGATTATTCAATTCATCTCTTACTGCTTTAGCCCAGTTGAAATCATTTTTTACTACAACATTTTAATAAAAATCTATAGGAAGTGGAAATGATACAAATTTAAGATTTTAAGATCTTAAACCAATATTTTATCATTCTAATTTTTCTCATACAAACTAGAGGTAATCGTCCCAATTCAAGATATACCATGTTGTTATTGGCCGATTTCTTCACTTTTAGTAATTTCTTACAGAAATGTAAATGTACATGTTCAATCTCTGGAGCTTTGTGCATACACCAAATTTCACTTGCATAAAAAGTCTACACGACGAAATAATATCCGTGGATTGCTGTTAGCATCTGGTAATGAAGACCGAGGACAGTCAGTAAGTATGATGTAATTGCTAACGTACAAGGGCAATACACCCGTCCTTATTTAACAGTGTTTATATGTACAACATGGCTGTATCGCTGATGACATGTAACGTGGAGATAATTTAACAGAGGATCTGTACCTAATTTTGAATGGTATATGAATATATAATGTCTGAAAACTTTCATGAGTACCTTACTTGCACACTGATATCACCGTGTATAATACACATCCGTCTGTACCAACATTGACGTTCGATAACGTGCAGTTAAAATCAATATTAATATATTAGCCATATCGGTCGCTAGCTATCAACGTTTTCTTTAAATCCCAATATCTGTTTTCTTTAAAATTCATTTTAAATATTTCTCTTTAACTGCAAATGATGTTCAACCGATAACTATTACACCTTTCACGGTGACTTTTGTTTAAACGAATTGGCAACCTTGGTCACGAGTAATTAAGAATCAGTAATTCGCTGAACACGTAGACGTGACCGCAGACAGGAATTTGACCTCTGTTGAATACGGATATGCCATACCTACATTAGTTTTGCTTACATTTTACGAAATAATCACCAACCTTATTAGCAGTCTAGTGACCAACCGTTTACAGTCAACACTTTATCATCGAATGCACCAACTTTAAACAAATGCGTGGAGAACTATATAGCGTAATGACTATACAAAATTAGTTTGATAAAATGTGTGTGTCATTACAATTAAAATGTACAACAAGTTATAGTTTTCTTGTATGCTATCAACAGAATCGACATTCTTTTTTACAACTTCCTGTCCAAAATATTACCTAACTGCCGTGCCTCTACTGAAATGACCCTTTTCACCTTTGTAATCTTAGTGGCATGGTTATATCTCATCATGTACGTACATGCTCTTATCAAAAGATCATAATAGGTTTACCATTTGCGTATACATAATCTCAAACTAGTAATTATTCCTGAATTCAAGTACAGATACATTAACATACCCGTGTAACAAGAGCTCTGTGTACACTCCAACACGTACCTACCACCTTATATATGTAGTAATTGTGTGACCGTTCTTTTAGATATCCCTACTGATTATATAGATTATATTGTAAACCACCTATGAATGAAACATTTATAGGGGGTGGGTGAATGATTAAGCTATACTTTGTATTTAAAACGTTGTTTTACGTTAGGTGTATATTTTACAGAGCTACTTACTACACATCTCATAGATAGGTATATACATACAAAATTTCAAAATCAATTAATTGTATAAATGTGGAAAAATGAATAAAAACAATAATAAGTTCACGTATATTGATAAGTACTTACGCGGGTTTTGTGTTTTTTGATTCATCATCATCTTGAGTTGAAGACCCCTTATCTGCTAAAAGAGGTTTGGATTCGTCGTCTGATTCCATCATGATTTCTAATTAATGCATTGACTTTTGTGTATACACTCCCGTTACAAAAGAGCAAATGGCTTCGATACTACCATGCAGGGTAACTGTATTCGGCGACTGTCCTTACTTTTACCTATATAAGATATTTCGAAATGCTGATTATCCTTGGTTATGACTGTAACGTTCTATAATTGTACATGACAGAGTCGGCTTTGAAATGAAAGGTTGAAGTTTACTTCACCAAATAAGGATGTCTTGTCGGTCGGGTGTACATATTTGCACTGATTTAGGCATCAAAGTGCAAACTTAGGTAGTACATGTATGTGTGCAATTGATTATAAATAGAACGTCCTTATATGGCTATACTCAATGTTTGACAAGAAGAGACGACACGATCACGTGATATGCGATAAAAATGAACCTTCCTAACAATGACAAACATCTTATCATGATTGTCAATGATTAAATAGTGAACTCTTAATGCAAATATGTCACCGAATAATTGTATCCTGACGTCTATAATCACTGTACAGTTTAATTTCATTTCTCATTACATTAATTAATGTAATGTATCGCACAGTGTCGAGCTGACTTAACTTCATCATGGCGCAACACCTAGAACTAAATCCAGACATAAATGTACAATGTAGTACCCTTTTTGTTGACAATACCTTAAACCATAACTGGTATTATTATTTTTTTTGTTTAAAAAGTATTCAAAACCTTTTATTTTGTAAAATGACTCATAAACAGTTTGACCAGTTACATTTGAGATATACATGCTAATAGGGAAGGGCAAGTGATAAACACGGGTCATGATTTGGGTCGTTCTAAATCACACTAACTTTAGGTGTATATTTGCTAGACGTCAACAGCCCTGGCCTAGACGTGTAATATTATATGCATGATCATTTCTCGCAATCACATTGGTCAGATCCTATACACGTGACCAGTCCTCAAAAACTCACGTAGACTGGTTATCCGGTGAATATCGATTTCTAAATATAGCCTGAATCATATAATAAAACAGTTATGGGCTTTTGTGCTGGTAAATATGATGTGATATGAACCTGAAAGAGTAATATTGACCTCGGCTTCGCCTAAGTTAATATCTCTCTTTCAGGTTCATATCACATCATATTCACCAGCACAAAAGTCCATAATTGTATAATATACAAGCATGGACGGTTCTATTAATACGATTTGTGTGAACTTATAATTACATGTAGCAGGGTGTGATATCAGCACCTTTACTGGTATAGGAAGAAGTCACTTAGAGACAAACAACCTGAGTATTTCTTGTATTTTTGCATTTTTGTTTTGTGAAAAACAACCTGAAGAGACATCATCAGTTTCGCCATATGTTAACAGTAAAAGGTAGGGCGAGTAGGATTGAACATTTAATTATTCAGTCAATGTTTGCGTTGATGTTCATGCACCGAGACGTTTTTAAAGGGACATCTTTTGTATTTGCTATCAGGTTATTAAATAAATTTATATCTGTTCCTGATATGATAAGAATGGATTTTTTACTTTGTCATTTGAAAAAAGAACACTTGAAAATTGTCCGCAATACGCTGGTTTAAGGAGGCTCCACCCTTGCGCAATAAGCCAGCAGAATTTAATGAAAGTTTCACATAATGGTAATGTCACTATGTAGAGATGAGTTTATGAAAATCTAAGCATTCCGATAAACTGGAGATTTTTTTTGTAACAAATACCGAAAATTTGAATTTTTGTCAAATTCAACACTTTCACATTTTTTGAGCGTCTGGCAATGTTCAAAACTATTACAACAATAAAATAATGAAAAGAAACATTGCTAATCAACCCTACAAATATTTTATTTATCATAAAATATCTACAACATGTTACAAAAAGCGTTTTTTATTGAAACTATATGGATAAAAGTTACTAAATACAAGCCAAAATCAAACAGGACACATAGTTACATACAAAAAGAGTGAAAAATTGAACCAAATACACACAAAGTCTTTATAATTAATTTATTTTACATTTTACAATTTTTTTGATCCTGATGAGAGTTGTCTACCTTGAAAAAAATCGGAACTTTTTGCGAGAGATAGAATTTACACAATGACACTGATTTTATTTAATATACCAAAAACGACGGAAATAAATTAAATTACTATATTTAATTGTCAATTTACTGTTCTTTTAAGGAACAAAATTACTCTCAATCATGTACACTTTGGATATCATTCCATATCCTGCTTACGCATGGTATATTAACATGTCAGGTACATATATATATAAATATGTAACCATAGGCTATCGCATGGTATGCCGTTATTACGTGCACGCACATGCACTTGCATTTTATAGGGATCTTGATATTTGACAAACCACTATTTTCACAGAGTTATTGTAATTGCATTTGTGAACCGATTTATCTGACAGAGCGTAACTCGCTCGACAACAAAAGTCGTAGCGACCAATGCAAGAGCTTGTGAACTACTGTTAGCACGTGATACGTACAGGTGAGGGCGGTAAACAAAACACATCAGTCTGCATTCCATGCGCCTCATATACGACCTTCTTTAAGTCGTCTGATCGTATGTCAGTGTTTTCCCGTGAGTTAATTAATGTCTTTGTATCATAAGCTTTATTTCTGAAGTACGTGTGATTACACATTTCCAAGTTAAGTCTCGATATCGGGTGTTTAACACGTCACGCACGTGTACTATTGTTTACCCGGTATGACTATAATTTACACTACGGTAATGGAATGCCTGATACGCAATACGGAAATGACGACACGAAAATTTAATACGATAACTACATCGTAGCTACCTAAACGTCTAATAGCACTATGAATTCAGGATCAGGACTCGTGATTTTTTCTCTCTCCATTACTGTTGCTCTTGTGTACCCATGTGTCATAAGTATGCCTGTTAATCTATACACTAATATGTGTACCACGTATACGTTTGAGTGTACACATATATGTGTTCCTCGTATACGTTTGTGTGTATACACATGTGTACCACGTATACGTTTGTGTGTATACACATGTGTACCACGTGTACGTTTGTTTATTAAAGAATTTTTGAATATTAATGAGTGACTTTTTACATATGGGTCATATCAATACGTCAGCCTTGTCAACAAAATGTGTGTATGCTATTCAAATCAAGAAATACTCCAGCTGTTTCTGACTGAGATTGTGGTAGAAATTAACAGATCACACTAATCGAGGTTGTTGAGTATGGTATTTATTTCACTCTCGTTAGTTAATTTTCAAAAGTTACAGAAAGACACTCTAAAGCGAGTGTCTTTCTGTAACTTTTGAAAATTAACTGACGAGAGTGAAATAAATACCATACTCAACAACCACTCGTTGTGTAACCTCTATGTATATCATGCTTACCTGTTAATGTGAATACATCTATGTGTATGGCGCATGCCTGGTATGTGTACAAACACTTGTGTATGACGTAAACCTGTCAATGTGTATATATTTGTGTATGGCGTATTCTTATTTTGTGTGCATACATTTGTGTTTGACATACACCTGTTTATGTGTATAAATATGTGTATAACCTGTGTCTCTTATGTGTATACATATGTGTATGACGTATACCTGGTATGTGTACATATCCCTTGCTGGAGTCAGGAAAACTAGGACCTAATGGGAAATGGTTCCACATAAAAGATTAACCAAACTATCCTTAACATGTCAGCAGTATAGAAAAAGGAAGACTGGGAATCATATGTCCCTCGAATGATCCATGCCTATAACGCTACTTAAATGAACTAAACTAATCCCTTACACAGCCTGATAATATTTGTCACTACTATGATAGGAAAACTCTCGTTGTACTGGGTGTCAGGGACAACAGGTACTGGGACGGCCATATCGATGTCATTACAAAAAGGGACCCGCACGATGCACTCTATGTTCCCCAAGTAAATTAAGTTTGAACAATCCGCAACATAAACCTCTAAACATAGATATTCCATACTACAGAGTTGTTTACATTGTAGGTTGATTGTTCAAAACTGCAGTGTGCAGTCTCTGATAGATCCACTGTCCACTAGTGCCCTCATTTCCTGGTTCTGAGAGTAACAGTACATCGTTTGCTACACTAATTATCATTTCCAATACACTTTGGCTTTCATGATTGTCACCGCAGGTCTCTTTACGACCACCCGTAGAAACCCCTACCTGTTTGTCACCGCAGGTCTCTTTACGAGCACCAATAGAAACACCTACCTGTTTGTATCCAGCAGGTCTCTTTACGACCACCAATAGAAACCCCTACCTGTTTGTCACCGCAGGTCTCTTTACGACCACCCATAGAAACCCCTAGCTGTTTGTCACCGCAGGTCTCTTAACGACCACCAATAGAACCCCCTCCCTGTTTGTCACCGCAGGTCTCTTTACGACCACCAATAAAAAAACTACCTGGTTGTCACCGCAGGTCTCTTTACGACCACCCATAGAAACCCCTACCTGTTTGTCACCGCAGGGCTCTTTACGACCACCCATAGAAACCCCTACCTGTTTGTCACCGCAGGTCTCTTAACGACCACCCATAGAAACCCCCTTCCTGTTTGTATCCAGCAGGTCTCTTTACGACCACCCGTAGAAACCCCCTTCATGTTTGTCACCGCAGGTCTCTTTACGACCACCCGTAGAAATCCCTACCTGTTTGTTTTTTACCTTTAGTTTGACTTTGACACTGGTTATTAACCTGATCCCATTGTGGCCTTGACCTTGATGGACCTTTTTTTATTACTATACTAATCTTTCTTTTGTCCATTCTCCTTGTGATCAGTGCCATGACCAGTACCACCTGAAGCTGAATTACACAACTGTTGTAGTACTTTATCCAATTAGATTCCTTCCCAAGTCTGGATATCCTATTTTCTAATTTTGTGTCTAACACCAAAACAGACTCCGCTTCCACGAAGAGTTGGTCTTTGTGGTAGCCTTCACCTCTGTGGTACTTGGATTAGTATGACCTTATGGTATAATATTTATGCATAGTCTGACTTTTAAGACTCAATGAAGACAAAAACAAAGACAAAATTTATGTTTTAACAATTAAATTTTAGAGTAGGGATCCAAATGGCAATTACTATGACATCATGCAGCATATATTCTAGTCTCCACCGAAAACTAGTGTCAGACTCTCCATCTTTAAGTTCTGCGTTAAAATAAATTCATTGCTACTGATATCACCAAACAGGTTTGTTCAGAACTGATTTAAATGTGATAGTGGTATCAACATTATACGAGCAGTTCCCCTTTAGGGATCTCTTTATTGACACAA